ACACTTCAACATAAACGAACAATACTTAAACATCAACCTCAACATATGTAATAAGTACTAATATAATTACTAATGGTAAACATACAATGCAAAAAAACAAAATGGCAGACCTACATGATATACAAAAACATGATGCCAGACCTACATGATGCACAGAAACAAGATGGCAGACATGATTGCAAAAATATGATGGCATAAGTACATAATAGCAGACAAACATGATAAACTTTATATGTAAAATGTAGAAACTTTAATATAAATAAACTTTATACTTTTGCATGAACAAAAAACAGACTTTTAACTTTAACATAAAATGACAATTCATTTAGCAACAAAACCTTACAAAATTTTTAACTTAAAAAAATGCTTTTAACTTTAATAAAAAGCTATTTTAACTTCAGCATGACAATTGTACAAATAATCAATCCACAAAAGCTTTACGTTATGATATGTTTATATCTTATTCAAAAAACTGTTTTATGCTTTTTTTCAAATGTTTTTTTGTGTTACATATGGTTATTATTATTATTTTTTTTCATATCACAGCCTGCTGGAATTCATTTAAACCCAGAAGATCCCAGGTGGATTGGAGCTTGGTGGATTGGGCATTTGTTTGGTGGAATTCTTATTTTCATATCTTCATGGGCATTATTAGCCTACCCACAATCAATGCCTGGTGCAAAAGAAATTCGTGCGCAAGCCATACGAGATGGATCGATAAGACCAGAGGATAAAAAGCTTCAAGGCAAATTAGCTGACATGATCCCTGCAACAATGAATTTACTGAAAAATTCTACATTTATGTTTAATACTTTGGCCTTAACTTGTGGTACAATAATAGCTACTGGTCTTGGCCCATTTGTAGTTAAGTATCTTCAAGCTCAGTTTGGGGTTTCCACCATGCATGCTGGCGTTGCTTCAGGTATTACATTAATACCTGGTACAGCTGGTGGTATATTTATTGGAAGCTATTTAATGCGGCAATTTCATGGCAAAGATACTTGTGAGGGAGCTTCAAGATATTGTTTTTTTTTCCAAGTAATTGCTGTTTTGTCAGTGGCGTCCTTTCTTATACCGGGATGCAGATCTCCCATAGTAGCTGGAGTACATAAACCATATTTCAATCAGTAATTTTTTTTATATATATTGTAAAACACATTATACAGACATTTAATGGAAAAATTAAAGCTGACTCAACAATATATACATACATTGGTATTTAATTAAGTAATAGTATACATATATATATTGGACATCAAATATTTATAAAATTACATGAACTAACGTTCATGTAATTTTATAATATTTTATAAATTTTAACCAATACATACAATATGAAAGTTAGCTAACACATCAGTCACACAACCAGTCACACAATGCATTATCTTACCAACACATTAAAATATATTTAGAAGTTCATACATGTATTAGTATAACATTCGTCCATTTCCAAATTATTTTTGTTTAATTATGCATGAATAGGAGGAATTATCAAAGATAAATATCATGCAAGGTTTGAGGTTTCCATCATTAAGTCAGCATTGCGAACATTATCAGAAACTATAATCTATACCATCAAAAGTAGACATATCTCTTGTCATCCATGAGTTGACATGATGCAGTTTAATTCCAATAATTTAAACTAGATTATTTAAATTTTTTGTTCAGCCTAATTCTGATTTTGTTGCATATAGTTCTTTCTGGCTCTTCAAATAATTAAAGTGATTTGCATATATGGTCATATATAATTGTCCAAGTTATTAATTCAGAATCAAATTTTGTCACATATGTGAAACACTTGTATAAAGAACTACAATATTTTAATTCTTATAAGTTTTTCTACTCTAAAATAAACATAATCATAATAATCAAAACATAAAAACATAATCTAAAATAATCAAAACACAACATTCTCTGCAGCCATAATACAAACAGAATATACTATAATACAAACAAGGTTTTTCATGTATCTTCTTCTATAAGTCGTAATGGTCGACGAATTGCTCTTGAGGATCAACGTGTGTCTTTTCCAGGTGTTATTAATAACAATGGATTGATCGGACAAGCATCATTGACAAGATTTTCAGCTGGCGGAGGTTGATAAAGGGGAGGCAGGTTAGGAAAGTTTTCAGGATTGGTATTGGTAAGTCCATATTTCTCAGGTGTTAATGGTTTATAGGGGTAAGAAGGTTTATTAAAAGCATTCTCTGGTGAAGATTTAATATTATTAAAGGCATTCTCTGGTGAAGGTTCAATATGGTTTGTTTGATCAATGATCGGAGCAGAACTTGTTGGAGCTAAGTGTCTTAGGGAAACTGTGGTTTCTCTTCCATCTGGATACTTTACGTGAGCATATTGAGGATTAGCATCTGTGAGTTGCACTTCGTCTACCAGTGGTTCATACTTATTATTACGTAAATGTCTTTTCATTAGTATTGGTCCAGGATGACTTAACCATGAAGGTAAAGTGCATCCAGAGGCTGTTTTACGAAGGTGCTTAAACATTCTTTCATGAGGGTGTCTCCATTGTTTTAGTATTTACTAAGGATCTTATAGAATGGAGAACGTCTGGCAATACTTTTTCCCAAGCTTTGATGGGTAAATTGTGTTGTCTAGTAGCAATCTCAATAGACTTCATTATAGTTCCATTATACTTTTCGGCTTGTCCATTCCCTTGTGGATTATATGCTGTAGTATGACTTGTCGCAATACCTTTTTCTAGTAAGTATTGTTTTAATTCTTTACTGATGAAGGCTGAACCTCTATCGGAATGGATGTAACTTGGCAAACCAAAAATCGAGAATACTTGTGACAAACACTTAATTACAGTCTGAGCTGAAATATCAGGGCACGGGATTGCAAAAGGAAAACGAGAATACTCATCAATTATGGTTAAAAAATACTTGTTATTAGTTTCCGAAGGAAGAGGTCCTTTAAAATCTAAGTTCAAACGTTCCAGTGGTTGTGTCGCCTTTATCAAATTAGATTTTAGTGGTTTGTAGTATCTAGGCTTACATTCACAACATAGTTTGCACTGATTAGTTATTCGTTTAACATCATCAATTGAGAAAGGTAAATTACGGTTTTTAATAAAAGCATAAAACCTAGTTACTCCAGGATGACAGAGTGATTGATGAAGCTGAATTAAGTTTTTAGTGTTTATTGCTGAGCAATGTATTCTAGAAAATGTGTCAGCTGGAATATTTAGTTTCCCTTCCCTGTAAACAATGTCATAATTATAGCACGATAGTTCAATTTTCCATCGATAAATTTTATCATTTTTAATCTTTGATTTATGTTGCTTTTCGAAGATATAGGATACAGGTTGCTGATCAGTAATAATTTTAAAATGGCGTCCAGTAAGGTAGTGTTTCCTGACTGCTTCTATTATTGCGCAAGCTTCTTTCTCAATAGAGGGATGTTTGAGTTCAGATTTTTGAAGTAATCTTGAAAAGAAAGCTACAGGGCAGCCATTTTGATTAAGAACTGCAGCTATAGCAATGTCAGATGCGTCCGTTTTTACTTCAAATGGAACATTTTCGTCCACATAATCTGTCACAGCATTTGCAATGTCTTGTTTAAGTTGATTGAAATCATTTACACACTGATGATCTAATGGGTACTTGGTGTTTTTGGTAAGAGAAGCTATCTTATCGGAAAAGTTTGGAATCCATTTAGAGTAGTATGAGAATAGTCCGATGATACGCTTCATGGATTTAGCATCATGAGGAGGAGGCATTTCTTTCATAGGTTGAAGACGACTGGGATCTGGTTTGAGTTTTCCTTCTTCTATAAGATAACCAAGAATGCAAATTTTATCTTGGGAAAAGCTACATTTATCATGATTATAAGTAAGATTTATATTTTTAGCTGACTTCAGAAATTTTTCCAGATTAAGATCATGCTCCTCTTGGGTTTTACCACATATTGTCACATTATCTAGATAAGCATAAGTATCTAAAAGTCCTTCTTTTTCTATAAATTCGTTTATGGTACGTTGAAAACAAGCAACCCCATTTTTAATTCCAAAAGGCATTCGCTTAAATTGGAACAACCTCCCTTTTGCTTCAAAAGCTGTAAATTTTCTATCATTTTTGGTAATTGGAATTTGATGGTAGGCTGATTTCAAATCAACTGTACTAAATATTTTGTATTGAGCAATTTTGTTTACTAGATCATCAATCCTTGGTAATGGGTAAGCGTCTAGTTGAGTATACTTATTTATTGTTTGACTGTAGTCAATAACTAATCTTTTCTTAGAGCGTTCTCCTTTAGTTACAACTACCTGAGCTCTCCAGGGAGAATTTGAATGTTCGATAATGTCCTCTTTAAGCATACGTTGTACTTCCATTTCAATGAATAATTGGTCTTCTTTGCTATATCGACAAGATTTTGAAGCTATTGGTTTACAGTTAGGCGATAAATTGCCAAATAAACTAGGGGGAGATACATTCAACTTCGACAAACCACAAATTAATAGTGGGGGTCTTTTTCCTTCAAACTTAAGGGTTACAGCTTTGTGTTGTTTTTGAAAATCGAGACCCAGAATAACATCCATGCATAACTCATTTAAGATGTTAAGTTTTACTAGTTTATAATGCTTATTTTTTATTGAAATATTGACAAAAACTACTCCACAAACTGTACTAGATAAAGATGATAAAGCCATAGATACCTGTTTTTGGTTTTGTCTATGAACTGTTAGGTTTAGTTTTTGTACCAATCGAGGGTGAATAAAACTATCAGTGCTACCACTGTCAATGAGAGCATTTACGAATGAACCATTAACCAACATGCCAATTGTTGATTTAGTCAAAGGTGAAATGGAAGCAGAAATGTTCTTTAAATTAGTTTTATGTTCAGAGTAGTCTAGTCAAGTGAGTGAAGGATTGTATGAGTTTAAAGGTTGATCAACAAGATTCATCCCTGCTGTTGTAAGTTTAGAAGATTTACATAACTTGGCAAAATGACCAACTTTCTCACATTTAAAACAAATCAACTCTCTAGCTGGACAGACAGCTTTAGCATGTCTTTGATTCCCACAGTTCCAGCAATTTGAAACAGAATTTGAGTTAAATTGCTTTGGCTTTTTTGTTATTGCAGCTACTGTTGTATCTGATGTATTATACTGGAGGTAATTTTCAGCATTTTTCTGCGCTGATTCCAAGGTTCTAGCTTTTGAAAATATTTCATCCAGACTTATTGTACTGTTTTCTAGTAGTCACTGTCTGACAACCTGTGAATTTATCCCTGTTATAAATGCATCTCTAATATATTCATCGCGATATTCAATAGCAGACACCTGTTTAAAGTTACATTCTTTTGCTAAAACTTTAAGAGCGTGTAAATACTCATCAAAACTTTCTCCTGGCTGTTGCTTACGAGTTGCCAAGAGGTGTCGTGCATAAACCTCATTTGATGGTTTGATGTACACAGATTGTAAAGCTTGTATTGCTGCTTCATAATTTGGACATTCACTTATTATTTCATAAACATCGGGCCCAACAAAATTTTTTTTTAAGTCAGGATTTTTAACTTATTGAGTTCTTGAGGGAGTTCATCAAGATAATATTCAAATGTTCTGAGCCATTGTTTAAATAATTTTGTTGCCGAAGGTGAGTTCGGTAATGTATCCAAACGAGAAGGTCTTAGAGCTCTATCCATATTTGTGTTAATAAGAGTAGAAAATTGAAACACTTGTATAAAGAACTACAATATTTTAATTCTTATAAGTTTTTCTACTCTAAAATAAACATAATCATAATAATCAAAACATAAAAACATAATCTAAAATAATCAAAACACAACAATATGATTTGTCAAATTTTTACAAAAAATAATTTATACTCTTTTATTTGGTTTTGCTTTATTTTTTCATCTTTTTTATTAGATCTACATTAAATTTGATATCAGACTGTAACCACCAATGCAAGTGTAGTGATTTAAGTTACAACCCAGTTTGTGGTGTAGACAACCTTACTTACTTTTCACCATGTCATATGGGATGTCTAAAGATTTTAGAAGATGAATCTGTAAGTTTTGAATTAAAATTTTTTTTTTAATATTTTAAACTTTTAAATTTTGCTGCTTACTAAATACAATTTTAATTTTTTTAAATGCAGAAATATAGTGAATGTTCCTGTATTAATCAAACATCAACAGAGAGACTAGTGGTCAACACTTCAGGTGAAATAGATCAATTACCAACACAAATAATGGCTTATGTTGGTGAATGCGATAGAGGGTGCAAGAACATGGTGCCATTTTTGTGTGGTATAGTCCTGATGTTAGTGCTAAACTTTGTTAATGCAGTCCCGAATAAGATGGTTGTCATGAGGTGAGCAAATAAAAATCATTTTTATCATTTATGCTAAACACCACATTATATTATACACCAGTTTTGTAGCAATTTTTTGTTCCCTTTTTTACTTAACTTTGTTTTAAGCCTAAAACATTTTTTCAGATGTGTGCCTGACAATGAAAGAGCTTATGCTTTGGGTGTTCAATGGATTTTCTTAACTCTGCTTGGAGCAATTCCTGGTCCACTTTTATTTGGAATTTTTATTGATAAATCATGTAATATGTGGGAAACAAATTGTAGCAAGGCTGGTAATTGTATTTTGTACGATAATGTTACACTTAGTTACCAGCTTACATTAGGAATATTTATATTACAAGGTAGGTTTAAAAAGAATAAATATTGCAGCATTTTGCTGAAAGTTGTGATAAAATATATAAAAACGATATATATATATATATATATATATATATATATATATATATATATATATATATATATATATATATATATATATAATAATAATAATATAAACTATTGGTTACTGATACGTTAACCATTATTTATAACTTTTTCCTTATTTCATATTAATATTGTATTATAATGTAATGAAAATGTAATTTGGCTGGATGCATTGGTTTGGATTTGGGATTTTATTTTTTATTTAAAATTTCAAAAAGAAAATAAATAAACAAAGAATATAAACAAAGAAATAAAATTACACAAATAATAATAATAACAGTTGGCGTAATAATAATAGTAACAATAATAGTAATAATAGTAACAATAATGTTAATAATAATTTTACTAATAATAATAACTAATAATGAATAACGTCAATTTTAGTATAATCTAAAATTATGTGTTCAATTATCAGTAAATAAAAATTATAACAAAAAAAATTGTTATAATAATAAAATTAATAAAAATGGTGACAAGATCTAAATTATAGTAGTTATAGCAGCAGTAAAAAATAATAATTATACTGATATTAGCAATGAAACCATAAACAAAAAATCACAAAGTTGCAATAAACAGCTTTACCATAAAATAAAAAATCAACAGCAGTAAAAATAAAAACACAAAACATTACTCCCTTAAATTACAACACATAGGACAAAATAAACCAATCATGCATTGAATAAGTTTTTCACTAATTATAATTACAGTACTTTTGACTGCAGAAATTCAAAAAATCCTCAATAAAGAAACTGATTTTGATAATCTACGAATTTGAGGTTTTGCTTCTTTTTTCCAGAGCTGCCCAGTCACAAGCAACAACAACATGCAACAAACAATTTGTAACTGTTTGATTTTCTCATTAGGGTTATCTAATCACAATTGTTTTCACTCATTTTTGGAAAAATGCTTGAAACCAGTTGAAAGAAGACAAAAACCAACAATTTTAGTTTTCAGCGCCTTTCATGTAAAACTTTTTTTTTTTTTAATATTTATTTACAAGATTTGTTTTTTAAAAAAGAACAATATGTTCATGATATGGTCATAAAAAGTATTTTTTTTTTTGAACTTTTTTCAATATTTGATAGAGAATTTGACCAAGAGAGTGTAACCAAAAAGGTTATTTGATTTTTTTAATTTTACTTTTTTTTATCAATGAGTTTTTTGAAGTCATTGAGTTGAGTTGATTTGAGTTGGTTGTACCATTCTCAATGCTTTTAAGTGATGGCTCATAGAATCAGATTAGTTTTTTTCTTTTTGTTGTTGTGATGCCATAAGCTGAATATTGGAGTACTGTACAAAGTATTTGTTAAAGATATTTATATGCTTGAAGTAAATCTAGTTGGCTGTGACCCATTTTTAGTACAAACCTGTACTTATTTCTTTTATCCACCAAAATTTTAATGTTAAGATTCTTGTTTCAAAATTAAAACACATGGTGTAACTGTTGACTTATGCAACCTAGTGTTTGTGTCTGGATGACTCATGCAATCTAGTATTTGTGATTATTGAATTAAGCAACCTAGTATTTGTGACTGTTTACTTATGCAGTATTTTATTTTTGTTTGAATGGTTACCAACTATTGATAAAATTTGGTTTTTTATCATTGACTTCTGCCTAACCTACTCACAATTAACTGTTGAGTTTCATTGTTGCTGTTGATGCTATGTTGGTATTTTGTTACTGTTGATGCTGATGTTGGTATTTTGCTATTGCTGTTGCTATTTTGCTAAAATAGCAACAGCAGTAGCAAAAAATTTCCCAAACTTTTGTTAACAACTGAAGTTGATTATCAGAATAAGAAACATTAAGTTGATTATCAGAAATATTTACTGATAAAAATTAACAGCAAAAATTTAATGTGCGAGCAATGATGCGGAATTTAAATAATCAAATATATATGAATATAAGAAAGTTTGAAAATCTATAGGGGTGATCTTTTTCAAAAAGTAAACAAAACCAATGACATTTTACATTTAAATCAAAGTTCACCTATTTGAACAGAAAACTAGGGATAACAAAATATCATAACCCTAATGAATATATCAAATGTTTAAGAATTGTTTACTTTAAACATCTAGCTACTTATATGAGAACAGGTGGTTTTTATTATAATTGTTTTATTTTTAATTATAATTGTTATATTTTTTTATTATGATTGTTATATTTTTAATTATAATTGTTATATTTTTAATTATAATTTTTATGTTTTTAATTATAATCGTTATATTTTTAATTGTAATTGTTATATTTTTAATTATAATTGTTATATTTTTTATTATAATTGTTATATTTTTTTATTATAATTGTTATATTTTTTTATTATAATTGCTATATTTTTTTATTATAATTGTTTTATTTTTTTTATAATTGTAATATTTTTAGTTATATTTTTTGATGTTACTTATTATTTTTTTTAAATAATATTAAATAAATAGTTTTTTCTATATATATTTTCTAATTTTTTTATTTATTGTTATTATTTCATTTGTTCATTTATTATATTGTTAGCATATACGAAAATTTGTTTTATTGGTGGTCAAAATATGAATATCTTTTTGTTCATTGACTCCTCCATAATTTACAAAACATTTTGCAATATCCTTATTTTGCAATATTAAACCATGCAAACGTTTTTCATATCATTCTTGTCTCAACCACCCCACAAATAGATTTACATTAAAGCTTATACATAAGCAAGACAGAAGTCGAAGGTGAGAAGGTGTGAAGCCACATTACGTCTGACAAATATATAAGTGTAAAGGATGTAACTATGAGTGTCACTTTTGTTTATTTAAAGTATTTATTATTATTAAATGTTCAATAAATTGAGTCAAAGAAAAAAACCTTAATATGATTTTACAGTTTTAGCAGCAGTGTTTTACTTCCTTTCGTGGAAAACAATAAAACCTCCTTCCCTTGAGAATAGGCCTTTTAAAGACTCCGAAGAGTGTTGCGTTAATCCAAGTAATATATCTATTGATAATTCAAAAATAATTTTAAACAGCTCTGCAAAGAAAGATTACATTCCAAAAATATCTCTTCTTCATGCTACTTGACAATATTTGTCAATGAGAATTTATTTATTATTGTAAATTTATTGGTCTTTTTTTATTTTTTACTTTTACATATTTTTTAATAATTGATTTTTGTATTAATTTTTTTTGACTATAGTCTCAAATCGTTCAAATTTTTTAACTTAATATGCAAATTTGCTAACTCTCGTATAAGAGCATAATAAAGTGTTCAAATTTTTTTAATTTATTAATTTTGAAATGTTTAAGGTTACCATTTTGAACCTAGCAAGTTTTTTAGTAAATACAGTGAAAAGGTATTACAAAGTCATTATCTGAATAGGAACTTATATTATTTGTAAAAAATTATTTTCTTTAAAAAGTTATTTTTATTAAAAATTGTTGGCCAATTTGTATATAAAAGTACATTAATAATTTTGAACATTTTGAACTATTTTTTCCTCCTTTAAAAAAAAATTTATTTATTTGAATATTTATTATGCATATTGTATATTATATATATATATATATATATATATATATATATATATATATATATATATATATATATATATATATATATATATATATATATATATATATATATATATATATATATATATATATATATATATATGTATATATATATGTATATATATATATGTATATATATATGTATATATATATATATATATATATATATATATATATTTTTGTTTTATATGTATATTTTATATCTGGTGTAAACACATTTTTATAATAAATCACTTCTCAATTTTTAAAAAAATTTTTAAAAAGCTTTAATTTAAATTTTTTTTTATGGAAAAAGTATTTTAAAAACTTTTAGTTTTTTTTTTTTCAAACCCTTTATTAACTTCTATATGTTTATTAATTTAAATTTGTTTAGTCAAAAGTTATGTGACTTTTGACTGTAAATTTGTTTAGTCAAAGTTACGTGACAAATAACTAAAATCATTAAGTGGATTAAATGAAATAAGAATGCATTGAATTACGCTGCGTATAGCAAGTCCTCTAGGATATAAATTATTCAAAAATGTGCAGCGTGTTTAAGTCATACATAGCTAATAGCATACACCGTTTTTGAAGAATATAAAAGGTGAATCACAGTATATGTGGTGTACAAAACCTTTGGTGTACACTGATAACTAGATGCCGAATTATGCTTAGGCTAGAATTATCAAGGTTTTATATTTAGGTATTATAACTAGTTTAGCTCTTCACTTTTCTACGTAAAAACAGAGATAATGGCAACTCTAACTTAGGCACAAATACTTACACACATAAGCCTGTGTTGATGCCAAAGTAAAAGAAAATATTTTTTTTAACGCGTTTTCCTAATGATATGTTTTAAACTAACTGATATAGTTTCACTGATAAAAAAATTGTTGAAAAGCAATAGCAATTGAAGACTATTAAATGTTTCTAAGCACATCGTTAGAATAAAATTCGTAATATTTTTTGAGTTACTATAATTAATCATTTAAATTAAATAAAAACGCATTATGATATTTAAAAATTGATAGGACTTAGTATCTTTGCTTATGATATTGTTTATTATTATATAGTAAAATAATTTTTCGGCAATAAACTTAAAATTTGGTACCTCGGAACTAATTTGTGCTTTTGAACACGTTACTTTAGAAACAACACAGCTTTGGAAACAAAAACACGTAAAACAAAGTGTTAAAAATTTATGTCGATAAACCGTTAAAACGATCGTACTACCAAATATGCTAAGGAAAAAAAAAAACTTCTAAAAACTAAAACAATTTTTTTGGATGAAGAGAAGAAAAATATCCTGATTACTAGTGCTTAATTCGTAAATAATCTCATATTTTAGTTAAAATGTGAGGTAAAGGACACCACAATTATTTTGTTCGTAAACATTAAGTTCTTAACTTTTTTCAGTGTTTTTTATAAAACAGTTCTAATAGTTTGAAGTAGTTATAAAAATACAAAGTAGATGTTTTAAAATAAAAATACAAAAGAGATGTTTTAAAATAAAAATACAAAGTAGATGTTTTAAAATAATAAATATTTTACAAATATTTTATTTGTAAAATATTTACTTTGTATATTAAAATGGTACCTCGGAAGTATTATATTAAAAAAAATATATATTTTCTTTGAAATAACATTAGTTTGATAAATGGTTTCTATCATAGTGAGAAGTGAGCTACAGACTAACTGCTAGTATTGGTAGTAGTAAGTTATATAAGTTTAATACTTATAGTATTGGACAAAACAAGTGCAACAAAATAATGCTAATTTAGTTTCTTTATATAAAAGTGCTTCATTTTTTCAATTTAAAGAAATAAATATGTAACTGTTTAGAGACAACGTTCTTCAAATTTTATTCATCACAATGTTCATTATTTGTACACAAAAATTAATAAATTAATCAAAAGTATTTTAAAAAAGTTGATTTCCTTCTGGACAAAACAAGTGCAATTCCACAAAATGTTGAGCAAGCTGTATTTCGAAATCAATATTTTGTGGCGAATCCTTTGTTGTCGATCACAGCCTTGCATCTTCGAGGCATAGATTCGATCAGGTGATCAATGAAACTTTGTGGAATCACTGACCAGGCCTTTTGGATTTGTTCAAACAGTTGATTCTTATTACGAACACCTTCACGATTAATTCTGCGGTTGACGATCTCCCACAGGTTCTCGATAGGGTTGAGATCCGGAGATTGAGGCAGCCAATCCATCACCGATAGGTGGTTATCTTAAAATCACTGCTTGACTACTTTTGCAGTGTGTTTCGGATCGTTGACTTGCTGAAAAACCCATTTTATTGGCATATTCCATTCAGCATGAGGTAATATAACATCTTTCAGAATATTTTTATACATGAAGCGGTCCATTATTCCATCGCTTCGATGTATTGGATCTAGGCAGTTAGCAGAAAAACCCTGACGGCGATAAAGAAATTTTAACTATTGATCTCAAATCTTAAACAATGAATGTAAAATTGTACTATTAAGCTTAATTTAAAATTGTACTGTTATCGACCACCTGACGGTCTGAGTGAGAATCTGAGCACGTTTTGAGTAAAATGTTATCAAAATAGGAAAAAAATAAATGTTATTACTGGCGATCTAAACATGAATTTTTTAAACTACGAGAATGACTGTAAAATAAAAAAAGTTTATGATTTTATATTTTAAATAGGAGCAATTCCCTTAATTAAATGTCCAACTAGAGTATCAGCAAAGTCAGCAACTCTCATTGATAACATTATCACAACTCATGTCTTCAATAACAATATACAAAAAGGTATATTGAAAGCAGATATAACTGATCATTTCCCAATATTTCTATTATTCAACCCAAATTCTGAAATTAAAACCAATACTAATAATAAAATAAGTAAACACATATATAACATAAACAATATTGAACAGTTTAAAAAACAATTATCACTGCTTTATTGGAAGCATATAAATTTTAATGACGACGCAAATAAAATTTATGAAAATTTTTTTAAAACATTTTATTCTGTCTATGATGCCAATTTTCCCATCTGTGAAAAAACAATAAATCAAAAAAGTCTAAATGTTTCTTGGATAACTAAGGGTTTTAAAAAATCATCTAAGATCAAACAAAACCTATATATAAATTACTTAAAAACAAAAACATCTTTAAACGAAAAGTTATACAAAGATTACAAACATCTATTTGAAAAAATTCGTAAAAATTTAAAAAAGAATTACTACTCGAAATTAATTGAAAATGCTAAAAACGACTCTAAACGTACTTGGAAAATATTAAGAGAAATTGGTGGAAAACAAAAAACTTGCTCAGGTTCCCTACCGCAGGTGATTAGAGTGGATAACAAAGATATTTTTGAACCTAGATTTAGTTTGACAAGTTAGTTGAACCTAGATTGAGTTTAACAAATTCTTTATTGATATCGGTTCAAAACCAGCAAATAAAATTCCTAATACCCAAGTTGAGTTCAATAACTTTTTATCACCGATGGATGATTGCATTTGTTCAAACAATTTATTTTCTGAGCTATCATTTGAGAAGTTTCAAGTGTCGTTTAAATCTATTAAAAAAAACAAAGCCCCTGGAGCTGATGAAATAAATGGAAACATAGTCTTAGAATGCTTTGAACAATTAAAAGATATTCTCATTAAAGTTTTCAGAGCGTCAATACAACAAGGAGTTTTTCCTGATAAGTTAAAAATAGCTAAGATAATCCCAATATACAAAGAACGAGACAGAACTAATATATGTAACTACCGACCTATTTCTATTTTATCAACATTTTCAAAAGTCTTAGAAAAAATTATTTACAATAGATTATATACTTATTTTAAGGAGAAGAATTTTTTAAGGAGAAGAATTTTTTTATAAAAGAAAGAGAAGAATTTTTTAAGGAGAAGAATTTTTTTATAAAAATCAGTTTGGCTTTAAAAAAAAAAAGTTCTACTGAGCATGCAATCATTCAATTTGTCCGTGAAATCTCCAACTCTTTCAAAAATTCCCAATTCATTTTAGGTATTTTTTTGGATTTATCAAAAGCATTTGATACAGTAAATCATGACATTTTGATTCATAAACTTAAATATTATGGAGTGGATGATGTAATTTTGAAGTGGTTTAAAAGTTATTTAACAAACCGAAAACAATTCGTTTCTTTTAACGATCCTTATCAAAAAAATGTTTTAGATATTTCATGTGGTGTTCCGCAAGGATCAATTTTAGGGCCACTTCTTTTTTTAATATACATTAATGACTTGCATAAAGCTTCTAATCTTTTAAGTATTATGTTTGCGGATGATACAAATTTATTTTTATCTGATAACAATATTAATAAACTCTTCACTACTATGAATGAAGAACTCAAAATAATTTCTAGCTGGTTCAAATGCAATAAACTTACCCTAAATATTAAAAAAACAAAATGGATTCTTTTTCATTCGATAACTAAAAAACGTTATTGACCCCCAACTCTACCTGATATTTTTATTGACCATATTGAAATAAAAAGAGATTGCACCACAAAATTTTTAGTTGGTACTAAAGTTTCAAAAAATATTGGAATTCTTTATAAGGCCAGAATCTATATAAATAAAAAAGTTTTATCCCAACTTTATTATGCATTCATTCATAGCTATATGAATTATGCAAATATTGCTTGAGCAAGCACTGAAAAAAGTAAGTTACAATCTCTCTATCGCCGTCAGAAACATG